ACCGCCAATACCAAAACGCTCCGGTTAGTAGCGTGTTCATTTTTGGCGGTTTCATCTCAATCGCTTCTTCCAGCCTCTATTTGCCAAACACAAAAAGAATAGCGGTTGCGATGGTCCAACAAGCTAAAATGGTCAAAGACGCCGATTTATGGCTGAAACGCCAATATCCAAACGAGGCCATGGTTGATTGTTTTTTAATAGTAAATGTACTCATGTGATACTTTTTTTAAGTAAAGGAGCTTAGATGATACTTTCACAATAATACATGAGTTTATTTGACCTTTTTTCCAAAATAATATATAAAGACAAATAGGGGTAGAGAAAAATATCAAAATTTCGGTATATCCTACTTTTCAATATAGCATCGTGATGAACCAAAGTATTTTGGTATCAATACATACTTGAAATTAATCGATATATAACTGAGATACAATTAAACCGAAAACTCAATCGAATAATATCCTTAAAGTTAAAAAAATGACTAGAAACACAACATCACATTGAGGATAAATGGCTTTATATATCTATATATATATTTTTTCGATTACTTACTTTTTAGTGTTAGAATAAAGAAAGAAAATATACTAACAAACAAGGATTTTAATTTTTTTGCGAACAGGGTGATTGCTATATATGATCACAAAGAGCAAATGTGTCCCAACAAATGATACTTCGTTAAATAGATTACATACTATTCTAAAATGAAGAAAACAAAACAAAATCACAAAATCATTCATACTTTCAAAATACTTAAAACTTGATACTCTCACTTTGACCAATTTACTTTTAAATTAAATAAGCACAACCAACCAAATAACTCAAAAAAATGGATAAGTTTGTCATATTAAGCAGTTGTTTTTTGCTAAGTTGCAGTTGTTCTTGAGCAAAAGTGTCTTTTTGGTCGAATTTGATTGAGGAATGCCCTCTGTTAATAACATCTGTGATCTGTATATATTCAAAAATGTTGGGGTGTACACCTTAGTGTACATTCTATAAAAGGCCGGGTCAAATATTTTCACCCTTTTCTTCCTCTCTCTATCATATGAACTCTCATGCTTTTCTTCTTCTTCTTTCTAATTCTATTTACAGCCTCCAAATTTCTATTCACAATCACTAAATAATTAGCATACCCAAGTTATTCTCAATTAGTCACCTAACCGTGATGAAGGATCGGAAACCTGCGCACTAATACTACCTGCAGAAAAAGAACCAGTGCAGCTTCATCACCCATATACTTCGTATATACATACTACCATGTACCATCGATTTCTCATGAATAATCGGGAGAAAAGAGAGAAAATGAAAACAGAGCAAGAGAGAAAGGGAGGAAAGGAGGTCCGGTCGGAGCCGTCACTACGCATCACGGAGGAGCGGGTACGATGTTGCCGGATTCTTTGCCGGACTGGTTTCACACCGGAGGAGAAATTGAAGGTGCTGCCATCGGACTGGACTGCCGCCACTGAACTTCACCGTGTACACACGCACACCAGTAGTAGAAAGGAAACTAAACTATTGTCTGCGTTGTGTGAAGAAACGGAGAAAGTTCCCTAATAGGAGTGAATAGGTTTTGAAATTCAATAATAAGACTACAATATTTTTATTATTCACGAAATATGATTAATATGGAAGTATTTACTGTCATCTTAGCTTAAAGTCATTACTGTCAAAATAGTTGAAGTCATAGGCATTGATATGAGATTATTTACTACCACTAATGACATTTTTTTTCAATCATGACAGTAACGACTCTTATTTCGAGAACAAACACACAACAGTCCTATTTTAGAATTCTATAACTTGTTTATTCTTATTTAGGACAATTTCCCTAACATAAAACATGAGAAGAATATTTAAACAAGTTATTTATTGAGATTTAATTTAGGTTTCTTATCAAGAAGTTGTTGAGAACTTTGCATAGTCATAAGTAGTTGTATGTGTCCCCAATAAGAGAATTTTGATCAGCTTGATAATAATAAGAAACATTAGTACGAAATTGTAGCATTAAAGTCACATGCTCCAAAAAGAATGAAGTAACCTTGTAAAAGGTATAAAACTATTATAGTTGTACCAAAATCATGTGAGAAGCTAAGCCCAAACAGAAATAATATGAGGCTATACCTTCCTAGAGTTGTTCTAAGTTTTGCGACCGTGTAGAGGTTACAACTTACGTGTGATGAAATGGATCTCTAGTGTGCACGAGTATAAGGTCTACCATCATTTGGTGACTGAATTACCATGATTTAGAACCTCTCATATGTCTGGTTGATTCGGGCATGGGGATCTTGAGATTGAGGATTCAACCTTTGTTAGGATGAGAAAACAAATATAACTTTGAAACAATTTTGGTTTTCTTCACATGATTTTCAACTGTATCCGCAAGTGTTTAATTTCAACCATTATCTTGTGGGTTTTGATTCATTTGCACACCATAAAACCTTTCACTTGACTCTATTACATTATTCCATACAAAATAGTCACATCCATCTCCCTATAAAAACACTTTGCTGTGAGTTAGTATTTCGAAGGTAGTAACGGGCTAGAAGGTACAAATCGAATTATTTCTTCACAACTTCTCCCCTTCCAATTTTGACAATCATAAAACTGCCTTCCATTAATGCAAAGAGGAGCTTCCAAACCACGGGTCGCTCGTGGTGAAGAGAGGTTGCACTTACACCTTTTCTCGTTGTGGATATGAATAAACCTGATATTTGGGCAGACCATTGAATACAAAGAAGAATGACTTCCATAGTTGTAATATACACAGATCTAAAATTCATCAAACTAGTTCAAATCGATTTAAATTAAATTAGATTAGATGAGACTTAGATGACATAAATTTACATTCCAAATTCAAGAAAACATTATGATACTCCGTAATAATAGGGAAAAGAGGCAAATAAGCTCTCGAACTAACCGAAAAAGTGCAAATCACCCCTTTTATAAGGGGCTCTGTTTGGCCGTCGCCATTTGGGGCGGTTCCCGGTGGAATTTTTTGATGAATTTTTTTTAGCATTTTCTTCATTAAGTCTAGTTTACCCATACCAAATTTCATCTAAAAATGCAATCGGAAAGACAGACAAATAAATGTTTGAAGATAATTGCGTAGTTAAACAGCGCAGTATATTTCAGAAAATCATTTGACTACCTTCCCGTTTGAAATTTTAGGTGAAATTTGGTATGGGTAAACTAGACTTAATGAAAAAGATACTAAAAAAAATTCATCAAAAAATTCCACTGGGAACTGCTCCAAATGGCGACGGTTGGAGAGAACCTCTTATAAAATGAGTGATTTACACTTTTTCGGTTAGTTCAAGAGCTTATTTGCACCTTTCTTTCCTGGTAATAACATAATCTGCCAATGTCAGATTGGACAGAGAAGGGCCCCAACTCATGTGATAAGCTTCCCTACTGGTAATGCCAACTGGCCATAACTAAAAAGCTTGTGTTTTCCATTTGCTTTTGAATCCGATCTTTTTTGTATATTGTACGACACACATAACTTTCAGTTTAGGCAAAACCATGTCAATAATGCCAGGCGGAATTACATGATGAGATCTTTTGTCTGCCACAACCTGCTAACAATGCTAAGCAAACTCCTTCGATCACCATATAGTTCTGAGCTCTGAGTGTAAACAAACTTACGTTGAAAAATGTATCTAACAAATAAAGTGTGCCAAAGGCGTAAACAAAAAATTGTGTATGCCAAACGCAACTCAACTTACCTTATACACAATAACCCGGCCATTCTTCAGAGTGCAAATTTATGTTTAACAAAAGGATTATTAACTTTATACGTTCATCATATTATCAAAAACAAAGTAAAAAGTCTAAAGAAACATAAATAAAGCTGGAAAGAATGAAATATAGAACAATAAGCCGCGTGTGACCAAATCCAAACTTGAAGCGGCGTCCTCCAAACTCTAGTCACACGATCTCTTCATGGTGGGCAGTTCAGGAGGGGACGGACCGGCAGTTGTGCGTCTCCTCAACATGCTCCTTGTTCATCGCATTATGTGAAATACCTTCACTTTCGTCACTGACAACACGCCGCCAAACACCAATCGCCATATCCAACGGTAACTGTGCATCCAAGTGCGGATCCAGAAATGATAGGTGAAATGGGCTAAGCAATAAAAAACCCGTTACTACCAGGCGCGGAGTCAGGGCACTGGGCCGGACTGGACCGGTACAAAGAATATTTTTAGAAAAAAATTTACACGAAATTTTTTACCTTAAAAATTAAGCTATTTTTAAAATTTGGGATGTGTCATGACCTAGGCGTTGGCCCACCCTAGCTCCGCCCATGGTTACTACACATGCAAGTTCGAACTTTTTTCAAACTACTCAAGTTCGTTTTTTATTTCGAATCTAATTTAATGCCCCAAGCTTAACGAGCTTCAAACTCGAACAAAGACTAGATTTTTCTACCTTTCATATTTTTACATCTTCTCTTTCATATTTTTCTATCTTTCATTCTATTTTTTTTTTATATTGGATATTATTCATGGCTCTATGCGCCAAACCCGGAATACAGATGGACTAATGATATTTTCTTTTGAATTATTTTCAATCCTAGACCAGACTTGATCAGATCAGATTAGACCATACCTAATTTAACAGAGCAATCCAGATTTAAACAGATCAGACCAGAACAGATCATACTTGGATAGTTATAAAATACACAGAGACCGGTCATTTTTTAGACAAAACTAGATCGTACTTAAACAGATCAGTAAATTTTAAACCACAAGAAAATATCCTAACAAAGATACTACGTATTATGTACACGTACTATCCTCCGTTCTTTAATTCTTGCAACAGTTTGACTTTCACGTTTGTCAACGCACAACTTTGACTGTAATTATATTTAATTATGTATTAGTAAACATTATAAAAAATTGATATTTTGGAAATTCACATTTATAGAATGCAATAACATTTTATACATAATAATTTGATTATGTATATTAGTAGTAAATCATTATCAAAGTAAGGTACATAAATAATGCAAAAATTACAATGTTAACCAGAATAAAAAAAGACGGAGGAGGAGTTATATAAATACGAAGAATATGTAATGTTCTATCTCCCGGCAGTTTTGATTCCACTCTTTGATGGAGGATAAAGTAAAGCTACGCAAAGAGACCACCCATTCATGACAATGGCTTTCTTCCGGGAAACGATTTCTTCACTATCTTCAAGCCCTCTCTTCTGCGCCATTGTCACCCTCTTCACCCTCATCCTTCTATACTTCCCCTCGCTTCTCTGGGATCCCCTTTTCTCCCCTCTCCTCATTTCCACCTCCGTTCTGCTCTTCTCTCTCCTCCACCTCGGCGTGGCTCAGAGGATTTCGCGAGTCGACTCAGAAAGCAGCTTTCTCTCGGCGGAGAAGACGGCTCTGTTATTACAATCTTCGAGTGTGGATGGCAGGATCATTCCGGGTAAGCAATTGGACTCAAATTCGAACCCGGACCCGAATTTTGGCCCATTGTCTGCGGAAGATTTTATTGAGTGGGATGTGAGGGCCCCTCTGGAGGTTATTCGTGAAGAATGGGGCGGAGAAGAAGAGGAGGAAGAGGCTTCGGATGAGAAGAGAGTGGCGGCGATTCAGAGGTATGCTTCTCTGTCGATGTATTATCCGGATTCAGATTCGGATAGTTCGTCGGAAGGGGGAGCTCCGTTAATCGGAGAGCCGGATTCGCCGGAGACGATGTGTTTCTGGTGGGAAGAGGTGGATAAAGACGAGTTGATTGAGATTTCATTGGACGGGAAGAGGATTACTAGTGAGCCGGAAGAAGATAATTTGATCGAGATCGACCTTTCCCCGGGCCGATGACGACTGGTTTTCCGATAAGGTTTAGATTTAATTATTTACTCGTATTTCTTAATCAATACACTCCGTACTTGAAAATGGTGACCTTGTAAAATATATTCATCACTGAGCATAAAGTGAGACATTCGGTATTTATTGAGGTTCTTCTCCCCAATCAAACATTGGTTATAACTTGAATATAATTTTTCCAACAAACTAATTTTTCTCTGAAATATGTGATACAATCATGTATGGAGTATTAATATGCTAGCACCACTGTTCTAAAAATCGTTCTAGGCGCCCGACTAGTCCCCGCCTAGGCGCTAGGCGGTGGTCGGGCGCCCCGATTTTAGTCTAGGCGCTCCGACTAATTGGTTCAGCGCCTACGTCAATTAGTACGCTGCCAAGGGCGCCTAATTACCCGCCTAGAGCGCTTAATCGAACGCCTAGGGCGCCTTGATTCGCCGGACGTTTTTCTTTTGCTTTTTTATTTTAGTTTTCTAAGATACATGTTACCTTTAACTTTAATAACACATACTCCCTCCGTCCCTTAAAACTTTGCCAACTTTCCTTTTTTGGATGTCCCACTAACTTTGCCATTTTCCCTTTTAAGTAAAGAATTTGTGGTTTCTGTTAATTCTCTCTCCTTTGCACAAATCTCAACCACACAGTTTTTATTTTATTAATCCCCGTGCCGGTCAAACTTGGCAAAGTTTTAAGGGACGGAGGTAGTATGAGGAAAGCTACTAGTTGTAGATTAAGATAAAACTATACATTCATGAAGTTAAGTGCGTAGGTATAATATACAACATATTATCAAGGGAAAGTTCCCGAAATGAGACTACATAATATCTCTATTATCAAATGTGTCAACTCTATCACTCATGCATGTTAATGTGTGCATATATACTTTTTATTTACACACAAACACGATATTACTAATCATATTTATGCAAAATCATTGATAAAACTATAATTTTTATGTCTCCGATTAGTCCCTGCCTAGGCGCCCGTCTAGCCGATTATTATCATGATTATTATTATTGTGATTATTATTATCATGATTATTATTATTCTTATTACTATTATGGTTGTTGTTGTTATTGTTATTAGATTTTTTTGTTATTATTATATTACACGGAGTAATTACAATTAAAATTATAGAAATAAATATTATAATTATAATTAAAATTATAATTATAGAAATAATTATAACTAAAAATATAATTATAGAAATAATTATAACTAAAAATATAATTACAATTTTAATTATAGGTTTTTTTTACTCCAGGAGGCGTCTGTGGGAGGGGGCTGAAGTAAACTAGTTTGAAACTCACCCCCATTGAGTTTTGAACCCGAGACCTCCCATAAGAGAGAGTGAGTCGGCGACCAGCTGAGCTGGACCGCTTCCTCTAATTATAGCTATATTTATAACTAGTGTAATTCGTATAATAATAATTATACCTATTATAATTATGATTACAATTATATTTTTTTTATAATTATGACTAGTATAGTACCCGTGCATACGCACGAGAGAAAGGAGTTGGTGCATATATTTTTACTCATGATCTAATTAAATATTAAAATAAAAATAACTTTTTGGGAGTCTATATTTTCGAGAAATAAGAGTAATTACAATGAGCTAATATCTTAAAGTATAAGTCATACAATAAATATTCAATAAAGAGTATATTAGAAAAAATTAATTGACACCACTCATTAAAATTTGCTATCCATTAATTTTCATTATTAAAATAATTTTAAAATCAAACACTATTCTAAAATAGTGAGTACAATACGTAAATGACATAAAGTTTAAGTGAATACAATAAATATTAAAATTCACAAATATTAGTTAAATGGCAACTTGTTAATCGTTAATTAAATTAGTGCTAATATATTAGAGAGAGAAAACTGTCCTACTCAATTGTTAGCCGACTTATTTAATGAGTACTTAAAAGAATTACATATGAGAGAAAATTCAATCGCTCAATTGTTAGCCGGATTATCTTATACCTAAAAGCACTATATATGAGAGAAAGAATTAGCATGCTCGGTTGTTAGCCGAATTATCATACACTTAAAAAAAAGCTACATATGACAGAGAAAGTTCCTCCGCTCAATTATTAGAAAATTATTTTCTTATCTCCTCATAACTAAAATCACTACGTATGAGAGATCAAATTCTCCCGTTCAATTATTAGCTAGGCAGTTTATCTTATACCTAAAAGCATTATATATGAGAGAATAAAATTTTCCCTGCTCAATTGTTTGGCGGATTATTTTATACTTAAAAGAGAGAAAAAGTTCTTACGCTCAATTGTTTTATTTTGGCAAAACTTTCTAACCTATTATAGTCTCTGTTCTAACTTCCGCTCAATTGTAAGAAAGTTTATTTTCTTATCTCCTTATACCATATACCTAAAAACACTACATATGAGAGAGAAAATTATCTTGCTCAATTGTTAGCAAGCTTATCTTCTAATTATGTAATCATACCCAAAAGCACTACATATGAGAGATAAAATTATCCCGTTCGATTCCCCTGTTCAATTGTTAGCAAATTTATCTTCTAATATCTAAAAACACTACATAAGATAGAGAAAATTTCCCCGCTCAATTAAGAGTAAGCTTATCTAGTTTCTTATACTTAAAATCACTACATATGAGAGAGAAAATTCACCCGCTAATTTGGCAGTCGGTTTATCTTATACCTAAAAGCACTATATACTACAGGGAAAATTATCTCCCTCAATTATTAGCAAACTTATTTATCTTCTAATAACTAAAAGCACTACACATGAAAGAGAAAATTATTCCGCTCAATTCCTCTGCCAATTCCTCTGCTCAATTGTTAGTAAGATTATCTTATTATCTTCTAATACCTAGAAACACTACACATGAGAGAGAAAGTTATCCCGCTCAATTCCTGTGCTCAATTGTTAGTAAGATTATCTTATATAATAATAATAATAATACCTAAAAGCACTACATATGATAGAGTAGTTTCTCCCGCTCAATTATTACCAAGCTTATCTTCTTATACCTAAAACCACTACATATGAGAGAGAGCTAGAACTCTCCCGCTCAATTGTTAGCCGTCGTATCTTATACTTAAAAGAATACATATGAGAGAGGAAATTTTTCCCCTCAATTGTTAGCCGGCTTGAAAAGGGGCTTTTAAAAATGTGTAATTGTTGTTTGTGTAGAGGAGATCAAAATAGGTTGAACAACAAATTTATTACTTTAAAAAAGAAATGACAAAGTTTTCAGGTCAAAGAAAAACTAAAAGCTGTTTACGGAGTATATAAGTAGAAGAATAGATGTGTGGTATGACTTTTGTTGAGTAACTTTAATACACCATGTGACATTTATAAACCATTTTACAATGACAATATTAGTATTTACACTACCATTTTATAAAAAAAATAGAGAAACAATGAAAACATTATAACACTTAGAAGAAAATGGTGTTTATTACACATTGGACATCTTCTTCAATTACAATGTTTTTTAGAGTCCGTTTGGTAAACTTAAATTGCCTGAATCTATCGCAAATGATGAAGTTGTGACTGAATTGGCCGAATCTGCTGAATTATGAAAAATTTGTATTATAAAATATATTCTCATTATAAAATTAAATAAAATAAAAGTATATGAAAAGTAGCTAAAATGACCATCTAAAGTAACTTCAGACATTCAGCAAAAAATTAACTTCAACCCTAATCATTCCGATTGGGGAAACATAATTAAAATACCCCAAACTTTGAAGGGGTGTGAGATAAATACCTCAAACTTTCATAAGTGATTTAAATACCCCGAACTTTTTACAAAAAGTTATTTTAACACTGTGATCATGTATTATTTATTTCAAAAATATAAATTTATGGTGTTAATTGCATAATTTAAAATAGCAAATTGAAAATGTTGCAATTATATGGAGTGGAAGGGTTAATACTATTTATTTCATAATGTAAGTTTAGAATGTTAATTGTATCTTCATGAATGGTAAAATATTTGTAACTATGAAATTAACACCAAAAAGTAGCATTTTTGAAAGAAATAAGGAAAAATGGAAACTAATAATCCAACCTTTTAGCGATCTTCTTACAATAGTCCCACCTTTTCGTTATTCATGAATAATCCAACCTTTGCACCTCATCTTCATTCACCGGTCCCTGAAGTTAATAAAGGTTGGAGAATGAGAAGTTGGTGTCTGAAAGTTTTAGACTGAAAAGTATAGCTAAAATGACCATCTAAAGTAACCTCATGCACCTGCTATTCCAAGTTATTTTCTTATCTTTGCAAAATATTATCTTTGTGAAAAGTGAGATGTATGGTATTATCTTTGTAGAGTAGAGGAGTAATTTGTGGGAAGAATGACACATAGGATTTATTAATTAAGGATATAATTGTCTTTAAATGAGCTATTTCTTTTCTTATATATATAAATAGACTACATGACTATATTTATCAAGGCCCAAAATTATAGGGATTAATAATCCTTAAAACCCATTCAGAAAAAAAAAACCTTGCAAAATATATTAAAATTCATAATTCTTGTGACGTTTCATATGACAGTAATATTGCATTTTTTTGAAGGTTTATCAAACAACTTCCTATTTTTTAACAACGATATCAATCATCTCGAATTAAGTAAAGAAATAATCTATAACTATGACCCAAATAAGTATAGTAGATAAAATGTGACCTATTAACTTTTAATGATTATAATTATGTTTTAGATTTATATCAAACTAACTATAATGAATAACCTTTGCAATAGATATTTGTGAATATAAAAATGATTATATTGGTTATAAGTACACTCAGATAGTCACTTTGATATAATTTTAAAAATAATTATAAATAGGTTACTTAATAAACCTTCGGATTTTGTTTTTAAAATTTTATATGCAATATTGGTCTCATATGAAAGATAAAAAAAATATGAATTTTGATATATGTTTTGCAAAAATAGAGCAAAAATGTAAAAGTTATAACACTTTAAAGAAAATGGGTTGTTTTTATATGGTTGGCCGCTCCAATTTTTATTATATTTAATCCAATGCATAAATTAACATTTTCATATTTAATTAGTGTAGAAGAATTTTATATTTAAGTCTATTACTTTCTTATATATAAACAGATGGTGTTTTTAAAGTGAAATTGTCTAAATTTACCAAAATTGATTAAATTCTGTCTGAAATGATTTTAAAGGAAAACTTTGTTTCTTATAATATCGATAAAAAAATAAAGATAAAGATCATATGTTAAAGATAAAGATCAGTTTTGTGGAACGTAGGAAGTATATTTTTATAAGTAATTTTAGGCATAATTATAGAGACCATTAATAAATTATATTTTTATATATTCAATATTAATCTCATATGAAAGATCACAAAAAAATATGAATTTTGGTATAATTTTTGTAAACATTGGAGTAAAAATGAAAAAGTTATAACACATTAAAAAAATTGGAATTTTTTACAACTTGGGTCCCACCAACCCATCTATCCGCCTCTTCTTTTCCTTGGTTCGGCAGTTTAGAATTAAAAAAAGGGTAACTCTCCGGTGCCTTCACATTGTACGAGGCACTGGTGCATCAGCCACTTGGCTTAATTTCATTTGTTTTCCATTCCAAGTCAGATTTGTTATTAAAAATGTTTATATTTGCATAATAGTCCTCTATGTCCTCTCTTTCTCCTTCCTGTGCACGTTCCACCCCTCCTCTTATGCTTTATGATTTTAAATTTCTTTCCGCTCCGCCATTCATTCATTTTCAGTGTTGGACACTTGGACATCTAAGATTTGTGACAATCTTAAAAGGCCGCCCCTTAACGTCACGTATAAGGTAAAATTAGGCTTTTGTTCTTTTCAATCATTCTTTTAGTTTATTGTGCTTTTTTGTCGATCATTTTTTGTTCAAATGCATTTAGGTTAAAAAAATTATAGTTTTTTTTTCAGTTTTGAATTTTTCAATTCAGTACATGTTATATTGTGGTTTGTTTGACTGTATTGGTTAATTATTACGGAGTATGAAATATGAATTTTTTATCTTCATTATTCAAATTATAATACGGAGTATTAACTTTGTATTCCTTTTTGCATGCCTATAAGGTGCTTGTTAAAATGTCTATCAGCCGTTATATTGGATTATCCTTTATATTTTGAATCTACAGAAATTTGTAACCAAGGCTAACAACAATTCATGATATTAGATATTTAGGTGAATGGTGATTGGCTTGCATTTCATATAATGTACTGCATGTGATATTAATTGGCTTCCAACTTGGCTTAAGTTCGATCATTTGATATGGATCTTTGAGTAACTAAATTATTAACCAGGAGGTGATAAGAGAGAACAACTTGTAAAGTATAAAACCTGCTATGAATGTAGTGTTTTAAATGTTTTTCTTTACATTGTAAATTTGCTAGTAAATCATAACACTGTCAAAGCTTGTAACTTCAAAAAGACCAATATTGAAGCGTGTACTGCTCCTCACTTAAAAACAATCAAAACTGTCATATAAGTAGTTTTAATATACTTCCTTACATTATATTTTTAAGTTTTAACAACTTATTATGTTCAAACTTTATATATAAAAAAAACTTTATACATGTATAGAAAGGATGTACAATGCTTATTGCCCATTTTGATTCAGATGGAATGAGTAGATATAAAACAAACAATGACTTCCAAGGTTTTTTTTTGTTTCATTAATTCATCTCTATTTGTTCGTGCAAGACTAGGAACAACATGGAATCTTATATCTTTATTAAATGCTCTTCCACCCAAATATTATAGCATATCTAGATCATGAGATTTCTGAACTATTTACCTTATCTACTGATTATAAATAAAAGTTAAAACACAAATCACAAATGTCAAATATTTATGATGAGCTAAGTGAAATACTATCAGAGAGTGTCGGGATGCAAATAGAAGCTACAATTTTTTACCTAACTAATGCATCAATAATGAACATTTTAGAGTCATTCAGTGAGTAATTAATATTATCCAATTTTGATTAGCAAATGGCTTCCCCCGCTAAGTATCTGTTTTTGTCTAGCACTTCACCATTAGTTTCCTTTGGCTGCACTTTTTTTGCTTGGTATTAATTGTATTCTGTCATTATGTGCATTAGTAAAATTATCTTCTCCAGTCCATTACCTTTACTCTTTATTCTTCCTTTTCATTGACCACCTTGAATTAAATGTTTTAACTTTTTTAGTTGCACTCCTCTTGAAAAGATGTTTTCTCCCATAGAATCTGCTAACCATATATGGAGTATGATGTAAACTTTAGTTGTGGGTGCAGGTGCAGCGAAGAAGATAAAGATAGATTCTTATATTATTATATATATATATATGGAAAAACTTCCGGTAAGGTATACCTTACCGGAGCCGCCGTGCGGCCTCCACGTTTTGAGGGTTTTCCCGGTAGAATTTTTCGATGAAATTTTGTGAGCATGTTCTTCATCAAGTCTAGTACATCCATACCAAAGTTCAGCAAAAAATTCAATCCGGAAGGCAGTCAAACGATTTTTGGAAGATAACTGTGTTTTATATGTATATAAAGGGTGCAGTTATCTTCCAAAAATCATTTGAATGCCTTCCCGATTGAATTTTTTGCTAAAATTTGGTATGGATGTAGTAGACTTGATGAACAACATGCTCAAAAAAGTTCATCGAAAAATTTCACCGGGAAAGCCCTCAAAACGTGGAGGCCGCACGGTGGCTCCGGTAAGGTATTACCGGAAGAGTTCCCTATATGTGTGTGTGTGTGTGTGTGTGTGTATATATATATATTGTGTCTGTTCATAGAAGAGGGCAAAACTTATATTCTCTGGATTGGTTTATCAAATCCATATTTGATTCTTGGGCTTAATCATCCTTATTATCCTCGGCATCTTTTGGATCCCACCTGCAGAATGAATTTCAGCCTTTTCTGCCTCATCCTCTTTGGCATCCAACCTCCTATGGAGTGAATGACTTCGTGGTAGGAAATTCACTTTCAAGAGGAGGTGAGGGACAATCCTTTGACGTGCCACTAATCCTTTCCAATGACTTTGGGGTTTCATTGGCTCCTCAGTCCTAGTGAAAGTCTTTCAGTTTTAGATATTGTTGCAGCAGTATTTTGCTAGTCAATTCTTCCACCGTTGGAGCTATAAACTTAATCTCTTATTTTTTTCCTCTTCTGTCATGCCTTAGGGATAAACTGCAACGAGAGTAAACAGATTAGGTGCAAAAAAGATAGTAATAAAAAGCGTTAATGGACAAAAATCTATCCACAGGAAATGTTTTGTTACAGATTACGGGAAAGCATTTCATAGTGTTATACGTTACAAAAATTTTAAATTACACAAAAACTCATGATCAGAAGATTATTGATGAATGGTTCTACATCATGTTCCATATTGCATAAAACATATGATCATTTCAAGAGGAGAGAAAGATAAAAATGTATATGACTTTTCTAGTCTTTAAGTTAACATCATATGCTTCATAGACTGGTGTGGAGGACAAATGGACATGTATAGAGGATAAATGGTCACACAAAGATTCTATTTTGAATTGGTACTACGATCTTAAGAAAAGAAGAATTGCCCTCTCCAAATATCTAAGAGGGAATTCCCTCTTTGTTGTGAGGTTGGGAAAAATGTCCTTCGGATTATCCAAAAATTCTTTAAGATGAGATTATTCAAAAAAACAAAGTCCATACAAAACTTGATATTTTGATATCATTGCTGGAACCCACAGAAAAGCACATCTATGAAAACAAAAGTAATATAAGAAAAATGACAAAAAACATAATTCATAGAAGCACATGACAGATCTTAAATTCCAAGAAGTAGGACTTCAAATCACACATGAAATTAAACCCGTGAAATTTTACTTCATAATATTAGTCTATCCAGATGATCCAATGTAGACATTAGTTGATTAGTTGGCTAATGGCTAGCAATCCCTAATGTAGGCAATGTAGTGAAAAAGAGATCTAGGCACGGTTCTTAAACCTCCAATTAGATATGAAACATGTTTTGTTAGTTCTAGAGTTAAGTAAGTTTAATCTATCACACATAGCATTTTGGTGTTTTTCTGGTACATACTACCAATTCAGTAAATTTATATCTCATACAATAGCCAAGTGGGATCCATTCATCTCTTCTCTAGAGATCAAGTCGCAAAGCTTAAATTCATCGCTCCAATGTATTAAAGAAGTATCTGATTGAACCAACTGTTCATGATAGCCTTCTTTCTCCGATAAGTAGCAAGGAAATTAAAGATGCCTTGTTTGATATTGGGGATAATAAGGTACTGGGGCCGGATGGTTATTCATCGTCTTTCATTAAGAAAAATTGTAATGTTGTTGGGGAGGACGTGATTCGCGCGACTAAAGAATTCTTTAACTCGGGAAGAATGCTTAAACAGATTAACCATACTGTGATAGCACTAATTCCTAAAACTACTCACTCCCCCAAGGTCTCGGATTTTAGACCTATTTCGTGTACGAATGTGCTTTATAAAATTATTACGAAGATTATTGTGGCTAGAATGTCCCCCACCCTCTCGGGTTTGATCAATCAAGCACAAGGTGCTTTTGTTGATGGTCGCCTAATGTTTGATAACATTTTCCTCGCCCAGGAGCTTGTTAGAGGATACAATAGGAAGCGCATATCACCTCATTGTATGATTGTGGTGGATTTGCGCAAGGCCTATGATACTATCTCTTGGGACTTTCTAGCCACTGTCTTAAGGGGTTTGGGCTACCCCGAGCGTTTTGTTGGGTGGATCATGGAGTGTGTCTCCACCGCGTCCTGTTCTGTGTCTTTGAATGGTGTCTTGCATGGCTTCTTTAAAAGAAAAAGAGGTATTAGGCAAGGGGATCCAATGTCTTCGTTACTCTTCGTTGTTTGCCTAGAGTATTTCTCTCGGCTTTTAACCATTAAAGCCAATTCCTCGAATTTTAATTATCATCCCCTTTGTGGCTCTTTGGGCATAACTGATCACTTGGCCTACGCGGATGAGTGGATGACCTAATGCTCTTTTCTAGAGGGGACAATTACTCAATTGAGATATTGGTCAATACTCTAAAAGAGTTTGAGGACGTGTCGGGCCTAAGAGTTAACCATACTAAATCCAATATCTTTGTAGGTGGGGTGCACGACTGTGACTTGCAGAATATTCTTGACCTCATGGACTATGGTCGTGGGGAATTCCCGGTGAGATACCTTGGAGTCCCGCTTGTACCGCTCAAAGTCTCTGTTGCTCAATATGCTCCTCTCTTGGAGACAGTTAGTGGTTTCCTCAAAGCATGGAATACTAAGACCATCTCCTATGCGGGAAAGATCGAGCTTATTCGTTCTGTGATGCCACATTTTCCTTTGGCATGGGATGACATTTGTCTCCCTAAAGAGGAAGGGGGTCTCGGCATTCATAATGCCAAGGTGTGGAATCATGCCCTCCTCGCTCGCACCCTTTGGGACGTCCACACCAAGAAAGACACCCTTTGGGTGAGGTGGGTGAACGGTGTCTATCTTAAGGGTAGAACTGTGGGAATTTGTCCCACACACCTGAGACTCACAACTCATGAAGCGGTTGAGTCTCATTCGGGATAGACTTCGGACTTGTTTTAATAACTTCAATTATATGATTTTGGGCCTTAGCTCTCGTGCCACGCATGGAAAGTTAGCCTCCGCTAAGATCTATGAGCTGTTAAGAGTTAAGGGTGAAATTAGGACTTCTATGAGTTTCATATGGAAATCCTACATCCCCCCAAAACTCTCTTTTAACGTATGGCTGGCCTTGAGAAACCGACTTCCTACCCAGGATAGCCTCGGGTATCTCCATATTGTTAACCGGTGTGACTTGTGCAAGGATGGTTTGGAGGCAATACCACACCTTTTCTTCCTTTGCCCCTTTACCTGTAGGGTGTGGCAGCAGGTTCGGAACTGGATGGGCTTGAGACATGAGATGACTACATTGTTGAGTGCAATTAAGTGGATCACAAAGACGCATAAGGGATCAAAGTTGAAGGCAAAGGCAACTCGCATTGCTTTCTGTGCTACTGTTTACTACATTTGGCATGCTCGCAACGAAATTGGCTTTGATGAAGGCAAGAAGACGGAAGAGGAGATTATAGCAAAGATCAAACACGTGGTTTATAAGATACTCTTGAGTATCTATCCGCATGAGTTGGTCATCTTTTGATGTGGACGCAATGAACTTCTTTGGGTGCCACGGAACATAGTAGTGTAGTGATTTGTGTGCGTGCACCTTGCAGCACCTCTGCTTTTTTTGCTTTTTGGGCCGAGGCTTTTTAGCGCAATGGCTTTTTGTGAATTTTGTATGATTGAAAAGCTTCTTCCAACCCTCTCCCATACGTATGTAACACGGGAGGGTGGGGGGCTTTAATTTTTGTACCTTTTGCTTGGATGATATATATATTTACGGTTCATCCAAAAAAAAGAAATATCTGATATGCACTAATTAGTAGTGCATAAATGTATGTTTTTATATTTGATTTGTGTGGATTGTTTATCGTTTTATGTAGTTTGTAAACATTTGTGTGATTTTAGTTGTAATTGTATTTTAATCTTCATTTGTAAGTTGTAAAGTAGAATTAGGAATTATGTTTTTGAAAAGGAGGACTTTGAAGTGAAGAAAAAGGAATTTTGACTGTCCATGAGCAAATACCCGACCGGGTAGAAGACTTCACCCGGTCGGGTCTGATTTAACAACCGAAGCATCACAGGAAACCACCGGACCCGGTCGGGTCCTCTACTTGACCCGGTCGGGTCTGACTTGACCCGAGACAAAATGACGTGCCAAAGATCACCAGAACATGGAGGATATCTGATTTTGACCGGACCGGTCCTAGAAAATCAGGAAATCACACTTCAGCCGCACATGCGGCGCCAAACGGGAAACACGTAATATCGATTGGGGAGGACTCACAGGTTTATCTGTGGAACTACGAGGACAGAAGAGTCTAGGACCCCAAGCAGGTGAAATCTGAGCGTTCATTCGAGCATTTCATCTCGGAGAGCCGGTCGGGTAGGTACCTAACCCGGTCGGGTACCCGGCCCAAGGTGTTGAAAAACACCTATAAATAGCACACTTTTCCTTCACAAATAATCGCTCCTTCTTCCATACTCTTAAGCTCAACTTAATTAGAATAGTATTTCTTTTATAATTTTATAGCATGTTTGGTCTCCAAATGAGGAGCTAAACTTCCATTTCTTGGTGTTGTCTTGAAGCTTGTTGATTATTTTAGTTGTGAGTTATTTTCTTAACTTCTTCCCTTGAAGGTTAATAAACTTAAGAGGGATTAATTTTGTTGGTTAAACCGAAACCGTTGTGTTGAGGTTATCAATCTCATCAATTGATTTCATCAAGGAGTTAAGAGATTAAATGCTACTATCAAGTCGGTATATGGCAGTGTTCTATACTTGACTAATAGTAAGGGTTATTAATGAACGGTCTTTGTTAATAACTACCCTCGATGAATTGGATATACTCCTCTCGAATTGAGTATTCGAGAGGGGATAAGTTATAGATATAACATTGATCGACTAAATACATCAACAAGTGGAAAGTAGCAAGACCAAGTTCTTTTTATCTTTGAATTAAATCACATATAAGTTGTTCATCTTGGTGTTTAAATTAAGGCTAAAGCGTCAAATAGGCCCTTGAAGTAGCTTAAAGTGTTCAATTAGCCCCTTATATAAGAGGTTCAGCCCGGCCATCGCCAATTGGGGAGGTTCCCGGTTGAATTTTTTGATGAAAGTTTTTGAGCATCTTCTTCATTAAGAGTAGTTTACCCATATCAAATTTCAGCTAAAACTTCAACCATGAAGGCAGTCAAATGATTTTTTGAAGATAACTGCCCAGTTAAGCAGCGCAGTACATTTCACAAAATCATTTGACTGCCTTCCCTATTTAAATTTTAGCTGAAATTTGATATGGGCAAACTAGACTTAATGAAGAAGATTCTCAAAAAAATTCATCAAAAAGTTCCACTGGGAACCTCCCCAATTGGCAATGGCCGGGCTGAACCTTTTATATAAGGGGCTAATTGAACACTTGAAATTAGTTTAAGGGCATATTTGACCATTTATCCTTAAATTAATTAAATTCCAACAATCCCAAAACCCCCCTTTTATTTACTAGTTTTATAAAAAGAGAATTATTCATTTCCCTGTGGATACGAACTCTACTTCACTATACTACGTATTAGTGCAAGTATTGAATTTATTTTGATGCACTATGACAAAGTGCCCGTCAGTATCTCAGCACCTCACAGTTACCTCCCACCATGCA